CAGGTTGAAGGTACAAATAAGCAGGTTTATTGGAATAGGTTTACCGATATTTCACCAATATTCACATGACATAAGGGTTTGAAAAGAGGTTATTATAATTCAGTTTATTATTTATATAGGTATTTATAGGTATTTATACAGGTATTGGGGACATATGCTTCCATCTGGCAATTTTAGTGGCGTGAAAGTAGGAGCTTGATATAAGTGACTAGGTACACTCACTTCATGATTCCCAAGACTTGTCTGACCCTGGTACTATACAGTATATTGAGATTAGCACTTTACACATCTTATATCACAGTGACATGCAAACATCCAAACAGATGAAGGTTGGTCTGCTTTTCAAAATAAAAATTAAAGATAATTAAACATAATCTGTATATAATTTTTTGTTGGTCCTCCCCGATTGTATGCTGGAGTGCTAAGCAATGGCAATTCCCAGCCACTTCCTTAGCTATAAAGATATAAAGACAAAATACACACAATGTTCACTGAGAACTATAAATGCCCCATCTGATACTTTTATACCCTGAAACATGCTGTAGCCCCTTCACCATAAGTGGAGTGGCTCTAAATTTAGTGTTGCTGGAGCTGTAATCAGTCTGGCTGTGATTACTTTGCCATTCCTAGGTTCTGCTATTGATTGCACCTACCTGTAGTGGGATGTGACCCTGCCACAGAGTGGGACAGCCAATGGGAGAACATTGGAAGTGTTTAGGCCTCGTTAGCCAATCACTAGGAGTTTCATGGCAATTAGTGCATGCTGGGGAAGCACATAAATACTCAGGAATTGCCATGTGCCAGGTGGATCTACCACTTGTGCAGCCTTTACATGTGCATATGGGCCTCTGGGGGTCCTAGGGCCCACTACATACAGTGGCCACCCAGCTGAAAACAAAGAAGTTCCAACTAGAGGTTCTTTGAAGCTGCTTGGCAACTCTATTACATCAGTGGGAGACACCCACTGTTCAGCAATAGGTAGTGAACTGTGGAGGCTAGTACTTTCTATTATAAAGCAGAAAACCGGGAATGGCTCTAGGTCAATTTGATTGTGATTTTTTTCAATGTTTACAAATGTTTAAACTTTTTTATATATATTTTTTTAAATAAATGTTTTGACTGTATACATATTTAAAACAAAAGGGCAGCATATCCACTAGACTGAATTATATAACTAGATAACACTTTAGGAAGATCCCTAAGATAAGAGATAAGTCATTTCATATAATTCATTCAGTTTTACATGTGAATTTCAGCTTGAGCTATTGATCTCTGCAAACCGGCTTCATATACTTTATATAACACATTGATAACAGAAAAACAGAAACTTAAAAGCACACACAGTCTGTTTGGGAGTTAGGGATATATCCACTACACAGACACTATCACATTTTAGATCAGTGGGGGTCAGTCTTTTAAATGATGAGACCCAATAGAGGTCGGACAGTTTTCCAAAACCTTAATTGTTAATTTAATCTTTTGGGATTTCCAGTGGACCACAAAATGTACAAAGTAATATTATGGTGGCACCCACAAGCTGATCACTTCTACTGTGGATAATAGGCTTTTTTATACAGATTTTTAGAAGGAGACATATTAGGAGTTACACTGCTATAAGCTGCTCTAGATGAAGATACTAGGACTTCTAGGATAAGAGGTACAAAATACCCAAGGCTTAGGCTGTGTACATTAAATTTTTTCTTAAGGGCTGCCAATGTAATGCCATGGCAAAAGGAAACAGCGTTAAAAACTCAAAAGGTGTTTTAACGCTTCCACATGCAATTTAAAAAAAAAGTTTTGGAATATCTGAATTCATTTTAGACTAATCTGACTTCAGCAGAGTGTATTGTGATTGGTTGCTATAGACAAGTGCACTTTACAAGATCTCTTTATTAAATGTGACCGATACGCTCAGCATCTGATTTGCATTTTGCTGACGTTAAAACAAGACTGACAGCAATTGTTTCCTGTGTCTAACACTGCAGTTCCATCCACCAATGAAAATAAACTCACCACTGGTAGCTCCACCGCAGTTCCCATTGTTTGAGTCCACTGGAAAGTCTGGCATTGATTCTGAAACGATAGAAACATGGAGGAATTTCGTTATTTTTAGGTGCAAGGTGAAACATTTACACAATTATTATACATTATTATTGTAATGATTTAGAATGAGCAAAAACCTCCCAACAGAACTCATTATACTTCACAAAGCAGCTATTCACAATTCAAAGATCTGTGCCAAGAAATGTAAAATAATCATAATAGTTTGCTAGTGGTAACGAATATGGATGGGGCTGTGTAATTCTCTTCATTAGTGTTGCCAAATCTGTGTTTACTTAAAATACATCTTTTATTACTGAAATACATCTTAAAATACATTCAAGTACCTTAATAATTAACAAAAATGTAACTTGTTTGAGTGTTACTTAGCAGTAGATCCTCAAATCATCTCTGAATTAGTGCTGACCCTCTACTTCTGCAGGGTGGTTACTTTTGTTCCCCATGGTCCCTGTGTGTGTTGTAGTCACCTCTCCAAGCTGGCTCCTGTGATGGACTACAATGTCATGTTTAATTTACTAATTTGTATGGAGATTGTATTGCATAACAGGACTGAGCTTGGAGCAGTGGCTACTTTACAAAACACACAAGGACCATGGGGAACAAAAGTAGCCACCCTCCAGAAGAAAGGACAGTGTCAGCACCAATTTAGAGATGATTTGAGGATCTACAGCCGAGTGATACACAAATAAGATACATTTTTGTTAATAGTTAAGGTACATGAATGCATTTTTAAGATTTAACTCCTGAGTTTAGTGTGACTTTAAGAAGGTGAATCTCCCCAACAGGAACGCAGCAATATAAACCTGACTGGGGTTGAAAGGAATTTATACTCCATTACTTAAAACTTGGTGTCACTGCCACTGGTGCTATCTATGACTTTGACAGCATCATGGCACAGAGGAAACATTTCCCAGTCAGACTTTGCAATCACAAGACAAACATAATGGGCAGGGAGGTACATCACACCATGAGCTGCAGTTTCCAATGCTGGTTTGGATTGGACATCTGGAGCGCTGACAGAAGTCAAACATGGTGCTATGCATTTATTAAGGTACTTGTTTGATATGGCTGTTTAAGATTTATAAAATAGTTCTAGGAGGAACATTAAAGTGAAAACAAAACAAAAAACAGAACACTAAACAACAACTCAATTTCCGAAGTAGACAAACTCAACACATTAGTAGATGTGTAGTATAAAAATCCCAACAATAGCTCTCAACTGTCCCAAGTTTGAGGAGTCAGTCCCTCTTTTCAAACCAAACCCCTCTGTCCTTTTTTCTTACATGACCCTATTATAGGTCTAATTCACTGATCTATATAAATAAATGCACTTGGTTGCCAAAAGTGTTTATATTACCGTACAAGCATTTTCTTCCATTCTGTAAACTGTTGTGTTGGTTACCTTAAAAAGGTAGTATAAAGGAATGTAAGTGAGAAATGAGAACGAGAAGGTTTAACCAACTCTTTTTTGTGCGCTCGTTCTTCATGGTCCATGCGATCAGGGATGTGGCAAGGGAACGCCCTTGTCTAAATATATTGTGATAAAAGTTGTTTTGCTTTTGCCTTACAAGTCTAAACCTTGAAATCAGTGAAATATGTGTTCAATGCATCTCCTAAATCAATATTTTATTACTTCCATATATCATAGCTGGTATTTACACAAACTGAGAGGACAGTGGAATATGTGATGTTCCCTCTTGGTAGACCCTGGTTTCCTAATCCCAGTATGTACATGATTAATATCTCAATGGTGTTCTCAATGGTGTTCACAAGTACCAATGCCAAATAGATAAACAACACCGGAAAAAAATACAGAGAACATTCAGACCAACACAATTATTAATTAATCTCCTGCAAAGAATATGTCTACCAGTACTGGATGGATAAACAGATCAGTGTGTTAGGGGATAACCAGAAACAACTCCAAATTATTATTCTTAAAGTGACATTAAAGTCAAAAACTTTTTTCCCTCCCCCCAAAGTTAAGTAAAACTCTTACCTTAAATGATGTCTCTTAATCCGATCTTCCTCTTCTTTCCTGTTCTTTTCAGCCTTCTCTCCTGCGTTGCTGCGGGTCTCCGATCCAACGCTGACTACTCTGTCCTTGCTGGCACTTTCTGTTCCACGGTGTCTGCATGCGGGTGCACGCGTCCATAGACTTACCTTGTGTCTCTCCTCGTCTCCCGGCCGAAAATCCAAACTGCTCATGCGCCCGCCCCAAGATGCTTTGCAGCCGCCCGAGCATTTTCGGACGGGAGCGAGCGGCAAAGACCGCTTTTAAAGCATTTTTGTTTTTTTAAAACTATTTGCATATATCTACTGCTTGCTAGCAGTAGATATATACAAAATAGTGAGGGTTTAGAAACCCTTTAAGGTTATTGATAAATGACTCCAAATTATTATTCTTAAAGTTCTTTATAAATATCTTGTATCCTAATGCTAAGAAGCTGGACGGAGAGTGTTGTCCATGAAAACCAGACATTCCCCTAAAACAGATTTTCATGGAACAGGAAGATGAAGATGGAACATTTTCATGGAGGAAGATGAAGAAAGCAAAAGAGGTCAAGAAGATGGTGGTAGCAGCTTGTCAGCTCTGTTTAAACAGCTGATTGCAGGAGATTGAGGTGAGACACCTAGGGGAGAGGTAATGTGAAGGTGCAGAAAACCTCTGTAAAGCTGAATTCCAGACAGACATTAAAAACAAATTAAAGTGACATTAAAGACTATTTTTCCCCCCACCCAATGTTAGTGTAAGGACTTACCTTAAATCATGCCTCTTTATTCGATCATCTTCTACCTTACTGTCCTTTTCAGCGGTCCCTCCAGCGCTGGTGGGGTATCCAATCCAACACTGACTCCTCTGTCCACCTCTTCTCTCATGTCCCACCGTGTCTGTGCGGGTGCACGCTGCTCCATAGACTTACCTTGTGTCTCCTCGTCTCCCGGCCGAACATCTGAAGTGCGCATGCGCCAGCCCCAAGATCCTTTGCGGCCGCCCGGGACTCTTCAGGTGTTCGGACAGAAGCGCGCGGTGAAGACACAGGTAAGTTTAAACCTGTTTCAAAAGGTTTTTTGTTTTTTTTAACATTTTTGCATATATCTACTGCTTGCTAGCAGTAGATATATGCAAAAAAACTTGAGCGTTTAATAACACTTTAAAGCATTTTTTTTTTTTTTAAGTTTATGTCCAGCCAAAACTTTTTTCATTCGTTTTTGGATAGAGTGAAATATGATCAGCACCAGAGCAGGAGGCCTAATTGTTCACTGCTGTGGTGCAATATATAGGTCTTGTCCCTCCCCCAGCCTGTGACTGGACAGTGAAAAGAGAAGCAGCAGACTGATGAGCTCATCTCTCTCAGTTTTTTCCCCCTATCAGCATGTTCTTTGCACTGCAGAACAACTAATGGGCTCTTTGCGCTGATACTCCCTTCCCAAAGGACTGAACTCTGCTGTACAGGGACTGCAAGTGTTTGATGCCAAGTCAGAATCAGGTACTTAGACAGGTTGTTTTTAAATAAATACATTTAAGGATGGGAGAGAGAGGGGGACCACACTGGGAGCCAAGCCGGCTCTGTAGCATACATATGCACTGTAATTAAACATACTGGTAGGGGGAGAGAGCAGAATGAGCACTCTGTTGACTTCATTAGTGTGGTTGTGCTACCTTACTGTATGGTCAGCAAATTATAGGGGTGTTTTCGGACCCAGGTATCCCAGGATAACAAAACTGGTTACATAATATTACAAATCCTTTGGCATTTAAAACATTTCCATACATATGTTTGAGCTTTGTATTTAGCTGTTTTGCATGGAGCTCAGATTTAAAGAAGAACTCTGGGCAAATAACATCATAGCCCTTGTAGTAGGGCCCCCCCTGCACTAAAAGGATTAAGTACTAATTTTGTCTAGGGAGCTAAAATAATTGAGTTATAATCACCCAAACCAGGATCCTGGCTGGCTCCTGGACCGGTCCCTTCGGCCTGTCTCCTCTTCCACTCCAGCAATAGAATGTCCCTTGGCGTCCTTATGTCCTATACACTGCATTGGACGTGATGACTCACAAGACCTTAGACCGGTGGAGCGGAGGGGGAGCAAGGCTTAAGGGACCCCCATGAAGTGCACCCTATGTCGGGCATAGCCTATTTGCACACATACCCTCCTCAGGATGGTTACAGCCACGATACAGTCCAACATCACACTCTTGCAGAACCCCTCCTTCTCAGAGGTTGGAGGGAGAAGAACCAGTCCACACAGATAGTCTTTTCTTGATTTTACTTGAAAGGATGAACATGGCATAAAGTATGACGGCACATCTCTTGTTAGTTGCATGGTAATACAGATTAGAGAGGCCCACTGGCAAATATTGTCAGTCTTACAGCCCTTCAATATTCTCCAGAATCCCATCCTTGTGGGTCTTAGCTTGGTGGTTTCCCCCTCCAGGGGAAACTGGGGAATCTCTGTAGTTCCACATAGTCCTAGGCCTGGTCCTGTCTTCCCATGGACCAGCCTCTGCTTTAGAATCAGTCTCTTTCCAGAGACTCTGCATACAGTCTGGACTTCTCCTTCCCAACTCCCCTCCTACTCTCGGGCGCCCCCTATAAATCAGAGTCTCCCCAGGCCAGAGCTACATCTATCTCCAGGGCCCAATAGGGGCATCTAGTGGCCTACTGCACCTATCCTACATGTGTGTGATTTAAAGTAGCCACTGCTCCAAGCTTGCTCCTATGATGAACTATAATCTCAATGCAAATTAGTAAACTAAACATGAGATTATAGTCCATCATGGGAGTGAGCTTGGAGCGGTGTCTAGTTAACAACACACACACAGGGACCATGAGGAACAAACGTAGCCACCCTCCAGAAGGAAGGACAGTGTCAGTATGAATCAGAGATGATTTTAGGATCTACTGCCAGTGATACACAAATAAGATACATTTTTGTTAAAGGTATTTAAATGTTTAGTGTCACTTTAACATTTGGATAAAATGTCCTCATCTGCATTTGTATCATCAACTTCAGATCATCTTTCTGAGTCATGTATGATACATCAGCTAGATGTGGCATTAACATGGTAAATCAATCACTGGCGTCTGTGCCATGCTACAAATATCACCTGTCACTTTTCGTATGAGTCCTGTGCTGAGCTGTACCAAGGTCACCCGTGCAGCCCTATTCTGAAGCTAAAAATGAACATTGAATAAGTATACCCTTAAATAAACACTGTACGTAGGCAATGGTTTTAGCTTGATGAATGACAATGTGGGGAAAATATTCCCATCTGCATTTTGTCTTTAATGAAAGTTTACTTGCCCAGTATAAAGACTTATGTCAGACAAAAGGGAAACAACTTTGCAAACTCAAAGACTTCCTAACCTGGAAAGTTATGACAGATATATAGAACACAGATGATGACTTGTGTAAACATAAGTCAGTATCATTAAAAGAGTGGTAAAACAGGCCATAGGCATAAAATACAGTTGGGCATGCATGAGCTCTGCATTAATCTCATGTGTCCTTAGCCAGGTTCTCTGTTATACAGGGGCACTTTGGTAACCGTTTAAGGCAATGAAGGAGAAAGAGGACTGCATCGGGAAAAATAAAAATTGGCCAAGGTTTTTTAACCCAACCAATTATTTTCCCTGAGCATGCATATTCAGGGGTGCAGTGTACTGATCATGGAGACTAGATCATTACCCAATCTGGCCTATGTCTATGGCAACTTAAAGTGTATCTAAAGCCAAAATGTTTTGTTTTGGATAGAGTAGGAAATAGAAAAACCCCTGTAACATTTTGTTTTTGCCATCTAAGTACCATTGGGGGGCATTCCTGTTATGTTCCTGTGCTGCAGACCCAACAGACAGTGAGAGGAAATCTCTCCAAAGTGAGAATAATCCACTCTTAGACAGTTGCCACTGCAACAAGTTTCCCAATTGGAAGATTTCCCTACTGTTTCTTTTCCAGTGACAACTCCAAATTTTGGATTTTCCCTCACTCTCAGTCCTAGTGGCATTGGTCACCAGGTCAAATAGAGAGACAGCAGGGACATATGCAGCAATAAATGCTAATACATTCTAATGCTTCCCCACAACATTAAAAAGTACAAATAAAAGTTTTGGCTTTAGATACAATTTAAGACGACCATACAAGATAATTCATTAGAAAAGCTACAAGCAATATTCACAAGTATATTTGCAAATGTATACATAATTGTCCAGAAAAGGTATGTGTCATTGTCATGAGGGCTATCTTTGTTATCAGCCATTGATGATTGATTGGTGAGTCCACCATTGACAGGTGGCATTATATTTTTCTCCACAGTGTTCACCCCCAAACTACTACTACCCTCTCTGTTTCCTCTCCTCCTCTGACCTCTTCAGTTCTGAAAAGGTTGTGAAACTTACATATTACATTACATATTTATCCATGGAAGTTGTTCAAATGTCTTTACTGGTCTTTTAACAGAACTGCTAGAAACATTCCACTGTTTCCAAAAAACCTGTACATTTGTATACAGGGCATCCATATTATTTATAACGTCTCCATATTGTTAACCCCTTAATTACTGACTCCTTGTAGGAATTCATGTAACTGCATACATGGAAATTACAGGTATGAGTTCAGCTTAAAACCAGCACCAAACTCTAAGCACTAATAAAAAGTATTGCAGAGGAAAAGTGGAGATGGTGGTCACAACTACCAACAGAAACCATCTGATTGGTTGCTCTATTCAAAATCACTTTGCTACATTCTATACACCATTCATGAATATGTCTTAATGAGTTGATATAAATAATGTAAAAGCAATTCACCCTGGAAAGTTGTATTATTTTGTAGCTTTTCACTAGTTTGATGCAGAATGATTTATGTGAGAAGGGCCCACAGGGCAACTTACCATAATAACCAGTCCTGTTTTAATTTTACAACATTGACCTGCACTAGAAGCATTAAAAATGTTAAATGATTCGTGAAAACTAGAGCAGATGAAATTGATGACTTTGTCTATGGCAACCAGATTTTATATTTTATTCTTTAGATGCCCAACAATGTAATGTTTCTTAAAGTCCAGATTATATCATTTGGTTTGTCTGGACAACTCTACTTTGTTCTTCTTTTCGTAAAACACCCCTTCTGTGCATCATTAATTGACTGAGTGGTTAAAGTATGCTCAATGAAAGAGAACATGTCGGGCAGATTTGTTTTAATACTTAGCAATGAACATATAGAGATAATTTTGGATAATTTTGGCCAAACCATAAGCAACATCAATAAGTAATGCAACCTTTAGGAGCATTACATGTATGGAAAGCAACATGGGGATGCATGGCTTTGGTTAAAGAGATTTTACAGCATGCTGGAACATCTCTGGTAATTGGTCTTCATTCATTCCATAAAAGAAACAATCCTTTCACTCAATGGGTACTGGCTATCAGCAGATAGCCAGGGGCAATGACCATAGCTGCCTCTTCATGCTGACTGATTTGATGACCATAAGATCTTATAGTCACCAGCAAGAAATCTGCATATATGGCCTTCCTATTAAACCAATGTGACTTTTAGAATAAGGTGATATAATAAAAGGTAGCACCTACCTGGTCCTTGCTCCACTGTAATGATGGCCTCTGGAGAGATACAGACTCCTCTGTCATAGACTGGTAGTTCCTCACAGGCCAGGCTTTCTGGCCAGTTATGGCGATACTTGATCAGTATTGGTTCACAGCCAGTCCGGGCTCTCTCGCACACTGACTTACATGGCTTGATTGGTTCATGCTGGAAATCGATGGTGCAGATAGGTGCATACATGGCGCAGAGAAAGAAGAGCAGGTCCTGACTGCATTTTGTCTCCAGCAAACCCTCAAACTGTTCAATTGCCAAGATAGCATTAGCCTGGGTGCTGTGATGAAGGTGGTTGGGCATTTTGGTCATGTTCCAGGGCATGGTCTTGCACATGGGAATCCTGACCGGCTCACAAGAAGCACTTTGCACCCTGGGAAAAGCAGCTAATACCCCCAGCATGACCAAGGCAATAACAAAACTCCCTAAAGGGGACATCTTCATTATGTATATATTTTAAAAAGTCACTTACAGCTTCGCTTGATCCCACAAGTTCTTTAAAAAACTTAGATGCAAGTTTTACCTTGAAGCTGAAAACAGAGACTTCTTCCTACTCACATCCAAGTTTAATAAAGTTGCAGAATATCAATAAAAGTTGCAAAGGAGTTTGAAGAAAAAGCAAAAAAAATAAAATCTTAGGGGTCAAACACTAGAATGAATTTGAAAGAAACGTTACAATAGATCCATTTGGTCAGGCAGGCAGAGCTGCAGTGAAAGTGTCTGTTGTTCTCCTCTCCTGGAGCAGAAGTTTGAAATAAATGCGATTGCAGCTAATGCCTGGCTCCTTTTGAGTCCAGCACTGTCCCTGGGCACACAGCCCCTCCTCTCTGCCCTCCCCTGTCTAGAGCCTCGCCTGCTGTACATCAGGAATCCTGCAAAGCTCTCCAGCTCACACCTATACTTCCGAAAGGATTAGCACAAATCACACAGGGCTGTGTTTGGTGAACAGTACCCGGCTATTCCAGCACAAGCATAAGCCTTTGTAAACTAAAAGCCATTAGGAAGTCTTTGCTACTGGCTGTCACCTTGTTTTCTAAATATAGTTTATTAGTACAGGCAAATGTACCTGGGTTATATCACTTCACTCTTCTACCTGTCTATACATAGGGACATCATTGTGTGAATACATTTCAATATGAGC